TTAAAATTTCATATTAAATAATAATATGCGAGAGAGAATTGGTGCGCAACGGATCTTCTGTCCCACACTCTGTGTCATTCTCTGTCCCACTTTTTATTATATTGCTATTTCTCCTTCATAAACATCATGTTTTAGTTCTTTTTTGTTTCCTTAAGATCCAATAACTATTAATTCAGTAATACACAAAATTTAACAAACTCAAAAAATCAAAATGCATAAAAAATGAGATTTTTTATGCATTTTCTGCTGTATTTTTTAATTTTCTATTATATATTACTTTTTTGAAGCTGTTGTATTTATTTTTTACTGAATTAATAGTTATTGAATCATAAGTAAACAAAAAGAACTAAAACATGATATTTATGAAGGAGAAATAGCAATATAATAAAAAGTGGGACAGAGAATGACACAGAGTGTGGGACAGAAGATCTGTTGCGGAATTGGTGCAACTCTCTGGAAGGGCAAAAGAGCGGAAGGAAAAGTTGTCTTATAGTCCGTAATTTAACCGGTAGGAGTATAACTATTAGGACTTGCAAGTTGCAACAAACATTAAGGAAAAGTTTGTTTGGAAATTTCTAGCAAAATCTGCAGTGCTCTCTGCCGATGCCGCCAAGTGCAAGCGTCTGAACTCTGAAGCGACCACCGCAATCGCAATCCATTTGCTCTTCCCAACCCAATGCTGCCTGATACAATAATCACCTCCGACACGCCCTCGTCTTCATCCCAATTCAACTCCTCGTCTCGAATAATCTGCCGCGTGTAAAGCTCTTTACTTTAATTCCTACTTACTAAATACTTCTATGATCTTGTACGCCTTTTTCTTTTGTGTGTGTGAAATGGTATATTTTGGTAACATCCTCCTCCTGCTTTCCTTCTTTCCCTGCGGAGCGCCGATGTATCGGTTCCTCTTCTCTCTTCCCTGCTCGCATACATGATACCTCTGGGCCCGACATGAGGAATTGAGCTAAATCACAGAGGCTAACTCAAGCAGATTGTGTCGCCTTGCTTGGTCTTTCCGCTGCTCTTTGTTAGGGATTGAAGGCCCTTGTTGTAATAAAAATGTTTTCCCCTTCATTTGTAGAAATTTGATTAATTTTATATGGAAAAATTTTAGTATAGGTGAAAAGTGTTGATTTTTGTTCTGTAGTTTCAATCCAGGATAAGGCTTCTTATAGTCTTGAATGAATTTTGACCGCAATGATAGTACTCTAGAAACTGAGCTTCGGCAACTTCTTCAACTTTCTTTCAATACTGTTCTGGGTTTGCTGTGGCTGATTTCTGGAAGATTTTTATGTTGGTCATGGTGTTGTTTGTGGTGCTTGTTGAGGAGTGCTGCGGTGGTACTCTTGTTGCTTGAATAAAGTACTTGCGATGCTAGTTTTGCAGGAAATACTTCTGAAAAAACTCCAAAAAAATCAGTGAAACTTACAAATTAATTTCTTGGAAGTTTCGGAGAAAATATTTTTTCCTCATGGAGAAGATATGACGTCCTGCCAAAGGATCCTTCGTGTTATTATAAGCTAATATTGAATTTTGGGTGGTGCAGATGTCAAAAACAATATTCACAGTATACTTGCCCGCGCTGCAATACTCGGTATTGCTCCCTCCCTTGTTACAAGGTGTGTTAAAATCTAGAGATTTTTCAGGCACTTTCTTTAGTGAAAAAAGTTTTTTTTTTTTTTTTTAATGTTAAATAGATTGCTGCAAAACTATTCTGCTTTTTGTGTTTGTGGATTTTAGTTAGTAAAAGTACTTGATTCTTGCAGTCTCACAGTCTTCATTGCACTGAGTCCTTTATGAGGGAGAACGTCGAGGAGGAACTGAGACAGTTGCAGCCTGATGATGAAAGTAAACAAAAAATGCTGCATATCCTTAAGCGATTCCATTCGGAAGAGCAGGAGATGGATTACATGGATGAGCATGGTATATATATTGTTGTCATTAACTTGTTTTTTGTTTCTTAATGCTACTAATTTACTTTTCTCTGTTGCTTTTTTACTCTAAGTATCTGATGCTATTTACCATTTTTACTTCTTAAGTATGTTTTGCTGGTCTCAGTTGGGTTGTTTTAGCAGTATAGGGTACAGTCAATTTGTTGTTGCTTCTTGACTATTTTTGTAAAGATTAAAGTGAATTGTGTTTGAAGTCTATATCGCCAGTTTACTTGGTGTGGTAGGTTTTAGTTATTTTCATTGACTAAAAAGTAGACAATATTATGAGAAATCATTATATAGTCGATCTGAAATTTATGGTGAATTAAATGAGTAATTTTTAGGAATTCTTGATATGTGGCTGCAACAGTATATGTAACAGTGCTAAATTGGACTGCATTCTGTTGGAAGGATGACCTTTTGGCAGCCTTGAAAAGCTGCTTACTATCATAATTTAGTTGTTTAGAGTTGATAATTTGGTCTTGGCTATCTATCTGTGTGCCTCAAATTCAGTAGAACTTTTTGGAATGTTTGTCTGGTCCTTATTTGTTTTTGACATTAATAGTTTAGCATTATCATGTTACTTCTCACCTGCCCTTCCTAATGCTATTCTTTATGCTTTTCCAACCGCTTCCCATTTGCAACATATTTGAATTTGATCAGGTTCAGATTCAGACTCAGAGTCACTTTTTGCAGAGGAGACTGTTCGAAAGATTTTATCTGGTATGACGCATGTGCACAGAGATTTTCATATAATATAATGTCTGTATGTAAAAACTTCCTTTGCTGTCTTGGAATCCTGTTGGAAACTCTACCCTTTTATGCTGATCCGAAATTCTTCCATTCTGTGTATAGGAAGTCAGGTAGGCCTTGATGATCTCTCTGTGGAAGAGCAGAAGCATTTCCTAAGAGCTATAGCCTCAGGAGAGCTGAGCAAACTGCTCAAGCCATGGGAGCCTTGGTGGTTGAAGCGTTCTGCTAATTATACACGTCTCAGCCAGGATGGAACCCAACTCGTTCAACCACTTGACAACACAGGAAAACTAGCTTCATCCCACGATAATATTGAAAACGATCAGGTCTATGACATTCCACCGGGCCCTGATGCTCCTCTACCTTCTGTTAGAAGGCTTAGTGCTACTGAACCATCCCCTCTATTGACAGTTCACCTTGTTGACATCATATACAGTTACTGTTTTACCCTTCGCCTTTACAATGGGGATTGGTCGTCAGATTCCACAGGATCTGTGGAAGTTCTTCTGAGTATTTCTTCTGTTTTGGGCCAAGGCGGGCAGCCAGAGACCGTGTTGGAAGCCCTGTCATATTGCTCGGAGCAGACCTGCTCTCCAGCATATAGACACATGGGTGGGTCACAGTTTGCACTGAACCTTATGGACGATGTAACTAGTGTACTTTATCTTGGGGGTGCTGCAATAGTCTGCTTGCTCTGTGATCTTCAGAGGCTGATTCAGGCAGCAGAGAAAGAGTTCAAGTCAGAGAAATCAGGAAAATCAAGAGGGTCGAAAATAAAGACGAAACTGAAGTCGGCTGAGCGAAAGGTTTACTTTATCAAATGTTGGGCTAATGAGCAGCCAAACGAAGCATGGTCTTCTCTAGCTGCTATAGTGAAGGCAGAGAAGAGTTCAGCTATGGCATATATAACCAGAGGAAGATATTCTTCGAAAAAGGAGGAAGGGTCTAAACCCAAAGACAAGCCAATGATTTGCGAGTTTCAGTAAGCTCCCGGACCTCTGATGAGTCTCTTTTATTTGTCCTGGTTACCTTGTTCGCCCTCTTCAGTTGTTTCAAGTGTAGTCAATCCAAAGGAAGCAGCACAAGCTAGTGGCAGAATTTGGTGTAATTGGAAAAAGTTCAGGGCCGTCTTTCCCTGGAAGACATTATTCTTGTATATGTATTTGCAATTGCTAGTTGATTTACAACTCTGTAGATTTGGAATACCAGCTTCTTCCATGTTTAGTAGAGAAATGATTCGCATTTTTGCGGATTTTGGTTGTACATTAGAAGATTGCCGAGCTTATCTGATTTTAAACATGTCATCAGCCATCGGATTTCTAACTTTTGTGGCTGCAATAGATCTTGATACAATGTGGAAGGACCTCATTGAAGTTGCGTGCTTGCGTGAACAAATGAACGTTAAAGGAGCTCTTGAGCGCCACTTTCGGAATTTACCTTCTGTTTGCGTAGTAAAGCTTGAGTTACAGACTATAGTCTGATGATGCCGTGGATAAGATGTCGTCTCTTCTGGGCAGCCGTTGGTTTTCTGAAACCTTGCGGACCGGAAGGAAGAATGTGAGCAGCTAAATCTGACTAAATGTATACCAGAGGAGAAAAGGGGTAAGAAAAAAGAAACACATTAGAGGTATGAGTTGCCAAAGTGAGGAAATAGATACCCCGATTAAATTGTTATTCTTTTATGAATTGAAAAAGATCAAAAAGAAAAAAAAAATTTGCTCCCTCCCTTTGAATTGAAGATCATTTGGAGAGAAAAAATTTTATTTAGTGTAATACTTAATTTAGAGAATCTAATCTCAGTTCTACTGACCAAAGTAAATTCAGTACTTAACTGATTTTTAGAGTAATTCTCTCAAGTCTCAGCCCACCATTAGAGAGTAGGATTGGAATGAAAGATTCTCCACACATTTGGCCAAGCAGTCACCATAACAAAGCCATTACCATTAATAACGGGTCTACTGGGTTTGATTGCTTTTTTTTTTAAAAAAAAAAAAAATCGAAACAAAAAGTCTGCGCTCCAAAAAAAAAAAAAAGAATACCTCCACAACATTTCCCAATACCCACCACACAGAAAATTTTTTTTTTTAAAAAATCAACATAACCATTATCATGCCCAAAACCTAATCGAAAGAGTACCTAATAAATATTTTTTTTTCATTATTAGTTTGGAGACAAATATCGAATTCCACCTCTTCATTATAAATTTTTTCCTTTGGTTTTTGGGCGCTTTTTTGGTGTGGGAAATGAGCATAGACGCATTGGTTTGACAAATTGGCATGAACGAAGCGAAGTAGATTTTCGAATAAAGACAAAAACCAAATCAGTTAAGTTGATCAAATTTACATCAATCCCTCCTCTCTTTCCAAAACCCTAAATTCTTCCTCTCTTCTATCTTCCAAAATTGTAGACCGAAACTAACAAGAATGGGGGATGTGGCAGATAAATTGGCTTATTTTCAAGCAATTACAGGCCTCGACGACCCCGATTTATGCACAGAGATCCTCTCCGCTCATGGCTGGGACCTCGAGAAAGCGATCTCGTCTTTCACCTCCATCTCTAACTCCTCTGACGAGCCCACCGCCGCCGCCGCCTCCTCCTCCTCCAATTCCAATGCCCAGGAAGCAGCAGTGGTCTTACCGGCCACAGCAGCCTGGACCGGTGGGGCCCCCGGCTTGGCTTGGAAAGTTGTGACTCTCCCGTTCTCCATCATTTCCCGTAGTCTAGGATTAGTATCGGGAGCGATCGGGCTCGGGATGTGGGCCGCCAGCGGAGTACTATCTTATTCGCTGGGGATGATCGGTCTCAATTCGGGCCGAGTTGGGGATTCTTCGACAACGACCCCGTTGGTGTCTGTTTCAGCTGCGGTGTCGGAGGCTATGGATTTTGTCGCGAGGTTTGAAAGGGATTTTGGTAGGACGCGACCGAATTTTGTAGCTGAGGGTTTTATGGATGCACTACAGAGGTCTAGGCATGCGTTTAAGCTCTTATTTGTTTACTTGCACTCGCCGGATCATCCGGATACTCCTGTTTTTTGCGATAGAACGTTGTGTAACGAGGCTTTGGCTGCTTTTATTAACGAGAATTTTGTCGCCTGGGGCGGTAGTATCAGAGCTAGTGAAGGGTTCAAGATGAGCAATAGCTTGAAGGCGTCAAGATTCCCTTTTTGTGCAGTTGTTATGGCCGCCACTAACCAGAGAATTGCATTGCTGCAACAGGTATAAATTTGAATATTTCATGTCTTGAGTACTTAGTGCATTTAGATTATGGCTACTCAATAGGATGATGTCCCTGATCTATAAGACGTCATTTCACTTATTTGGAGCAAAAGTATTGTACTTTTGTTAGTTTGAGTTGGAAATTCCATTTAGTGCCTTTTTCTAGCTAGCTAGGGGTTTTGGCTTCCCTTCCTGAGCCTTTGTTTTCAAAACTATTTACATATGTTAACAGTTCCTAATTTGTTCACCAAACCCCTTCAAAAGTGCTGACACAGTAGGCAGCGGTTAAGTGGTAGAATGTAGAGGCATTTCCTTAGTCAGTTGATGATGCCTGTTTTTGCTTCCAACTCTTAGGAGTATATATCTGTGGTGCATTTGTTTTGTCGTCTATAAGGTTTTTCGGTTATTCCTTGTTGTGGCTGCAGAGAGCGTAATTTGTTTTGTTTGAAATTTTTGTTATTTCTGTCCTTGTGCAATTTTTGGTACAAACTCTTTTGCAGTTTCCATTAGGACTCATCTACTTTTGGTAAGGACAAAATATACGTATGGGTTTTAGTATCATTTTCTTGAGTTTTTACTGCTGGTTGAGTCTCTCTGCTTTTATCGTTAACCATGTTCAGTTGGGTTTTTATACCTGTAGAAAATGGAGTACAGCTCCGCTGTGGCTTAGCTAATTACGTAGTAACTTGTGAGAGTTAAGAATTAACTGTCTGTGGATTTAGCTGAATGGATATATAAGGTTTATGTTACTAACTCCAAAATAGTAAAAAATGGCTGGCTTGGGTTTTGTAATTTCGAAAGTACAGAGTCAATCCCAATAGCTTAATCTTTGGCCATAAGACCCTGCTTCAGTCCCAATTACTTCTTCCCTCTTTTGCTTATGTAGGTTCTTTGAATATCCTTGCCCCTTGTTGCTAAAATGCTAGCTCTATTAGTTGACTTCTTAAAATATTGAAGTTAATTGGTTAGGACTTATTGATCCGATCCTTATGAAAATGTTTGCAGATTGAGGGCCCTCAGTCTCCTGAGGAAATGATCAATATATTGCAGAGAGTGCTTGAAGAAAGTGCCCCTGTTCTTGTATCAGCTAGGCTTGATGCAGAAGAAAGAAGAAATACTGTGCGTTTAAGGGAAGAGCAGGATGCGGCTTATCGTGCTGCACTTGAAGCTGACCAAGTATGTTGCTTTTGGATATTTATGTTTAATTTTGATGGTCGTTAATTAAGTAAGCTTATTAGCGAGTTTCTGAATCTATCTGCTCCTCCATTCTTTTTGAAATTATGTTGTAGGGAAAAAAATCTCTAATCCTTTTGGCTGTTTGTCTTTTATCAGGCTAGGGAGCGGCAAAGGAGAGAGGAGCAGGAACGGCTCGAAAGGGAAGCTGCTGAGGCTGAAAGGAAAAGGAAGGAGGAAGAAGAGGCTCGTGACAGAGCAGCACTAGAAGCTGCCGAAAAAGAAGCTGCATTAGCCAAATTACGACAGGAGAAAGCTCTTTCACTGGGTGCTGAACCAGAGAAGGGAACTGATGTTACTCAAGTAATCTTTTTTTCTTATCATCTTTTCTTAATTTGAGAGAACAGAATTGGGTCACTTTTCAATAATATCACTGGGCTCTGTGAACATTTTTACTGCTTAAGTGATGATCTATGCTCTAAGAGCATCTCTTTTTCTCTGTCTTCTTTTTTTTCCTCTGTCCCGTTTTAAATATTTATGAGCTTGGGAAATTGCAGCTGGTTAATGGATTTTAACCTGGAAAAGGCATTTGTATTAAACTTAATTAGCATTTTATTTCCATTAGACTGCTGTTTAATAGTCAAAAAGATACGTAGCCATTTGTTACTCCTGTGTCTCATTTAATATGCTTCTCTGCCATCAAGATTTTTTTTTGGATCTCTTGCTGGGAATGATCTATTTTATATCCTAATTGTTCTTCCAATCATTTAGGTTTTGGTACGCTTTCCAGCTGGAGATCGCAAGGAAAGGAGGTTCCACAGTACTGCAACAATACAATCTCTGTATGACTATGTCGATTCTTTGGGCTGCTTAGAAATGGGCAGTTACTGCCTTGTTTCAAATTTTCCGAGAACTGTATATGGGCCAGAGAAGCTCTCCCTTTCTCTGAAGGAAGCAGGGTTACATCCTCAAGCAAGTCTTTTTGTGGAGTTGAACTCATGAGGGCAAAATTGAACTTCTGGTGTTCAAATAGTTCAATATGGAATTCTTTTAGGATAAAATTTTAGTTGTACTTGTTTCCTTTGCTGCATGATTTGGCACTTTTGCAATCAAATGGCATTGTCATTTATGCGAGATGTTAATATTTTTTTTTTCTGGCATGTTAAATTTGAGGAAAATGTTGTTCGATGTTTGAAAGTGTAAACAGGCAAGCATCTTACCAATTAAAGGACCTCACCTCCGTAAACAATTGATCCTTGTACATTCTGATGGTGATTTCTTGTGAATTCTGCTTGAGTTTTCACCGTACAGATATTCAGTTGATGCCCAACAACTCTTTGATACTTTTTTTATTGGCACATCTTTGTACACTGGAAAACGTGGATGTTACCTGCCGTATTTTCGACACTTCTAACCAATAATTCTGCGTTCCATGTTCTGAACGTTGAGAAGAAAGAAGCAAGAAAGCAAAAGCAAGTTGTTGCCAGGCTAAATAAAGCTTCTCGAAATAAACAACAGACTTAAATCTTTCATCTTTCTAACATGCCGGTACTATAAAACAGAGGATAAGGCATTCTATGTCCCGGTCGTTCGAAAGGGTTTTTGAGTTACTGCTCTCAACGCGTTATCACTAGCATTGCCTCTTAGAAGCAGGAAAATCCGATTGATCAGACTCATGGGGCCGTTTATGGGATTTAACATGATTAGTAGGTTTATTTGGGCCTTCGATGATGCCATGGAACAAAACCATATCCTCTACTTCCGCTTTGATGACATCAGTTCTCACCCCAATATCCGTAGCATATCGGCTCAAACAGTATAATCCAGCTCCAGCTGCTGCTATGCTGATCGGGCTAGACATGAACCACCTAAGTGGTGAAGAAAGAACAGCTGCCAGCGGAGCACACACGACACCAGACACCTGACCACTCCTTCCAGGAGCTGTTTGGTCATGAATGAGAAGACCTGTTTTACAGTATAGAGCAAAATCCTCGCAGTTATTCTCAAACAAGTTGTAGCTTCCAAATCCATTATGAAGGAGAAACATGGCCCTGTGAATCACTGTTTTCGGTGCATCAGAGTCTGCTACCGTACATGTGCCACCTCGAAGTTTCACAACAAAAATAAGTGGGCTGATTCCGTACTCAAAGCGACACAATGATCCGCCACCAAGGAAGCAATCCAAGCAAGAAAGAACAACCCCACTTTGAGGTTGACGAAATCCACAGTCCGGCATATGTAGACAGGCTGGCAGCTCTTTTGCACGCGGAGCAGAGTACAGAGAAGACACTTCACCTGTACTTGAAAAGCTGATGGAGAAACCACCAGTTGAGACTTTATTTTCTTCACGAGTGAAATGGACGACTTTGTTTCCACCAAGGTAGATGCCTGCAAAATAGCGAATGGGAGATAAAGGATCCACTAATAATAATATACAATTGATGAATTCTGAAGATAGACTAGTGTTTAACCAGCAAATGGAAAAAGTACCAACACAAGTAGAGGTCACACAAGTTCAACAAGTGTACACCTTTAGAGATACGCATAGGAATGATGGTGCATTGATAGGAAGATTATCAAAAGCAAGGCAAACATATGCATTTTGATAAATAGCAATATAAATGTTGAAGGAGGATCTCAGACAGAATGGCTGTTCCGAGCCCTAATCTGCAACCAAGGGTACTGGCGGACGCATGTCCTGGATAGTCTAATTACCTGCACCTATATGTGGTTTCAGTGGACGGCAGTATTCATGTCTGCGTGTTCAGTACTGCATGAATCGCACAGGTCAGCAATACCATCAGAAGACAGTGGGGCAGTTCTCAAACGACAAGGAATACGAAAAGAGAAATCCACAATCATAAAACAGTGTATAATTACCACACAGATCTAACAAACACCCTTCGAAGCCAATAAGTTTACAGCAGACTGAGGCCATAAAAATTCCTTTAGAATCTCTACAAGTGACGTAGAGAAAACGGCTAATTACAAGTGATGTTGCACTACACTAGTACTAGTTAATTTAAGTATCTGTTCCCCCATCTTGTTTCAGATCGTACGTAACAACTTGAAACTGCAAATCCTCTTTCTGTCAACCATATGGATCTTATATTCGACGAAGACTTGTCCTTTTTGTTAAATTTCCAATAAGAGAGGGGACAAAATATCGAGTCGTCGCATGGAAGAAAAGAGCTACTACTCAATGCCGTGGAAAGCCGGCAATAACGTCGAGAAGACGGGGGAAAAAAGAAAATTAATAACGTATATATATTGATGACAATGGTGATTGAAAGTGGAAAAGGAGAGCGGAATACAATTACCATGGTGAGAGTAACTAAACCCGGTTTTCCAAGTATAGATGTGGTCACCAGCTTCAATGTCGCTTCTTTCTACCTTGTGTGAGAGAAAACCCATCTCGGAGTTGATTTCTGTTTTGAACTTAAACCAATAGATGGATCAAAGAGACCCCAAAAAAGAAGGCCAGGAATTCTGAGAGACGGACATTAGCTAGTTTGGGAGTTCAGATTCCAACGGAATCGAAAAGAAGGAAGAGAAAGGTGGATTTTCCTACGTTTGGGACCTCCAAGTGAGACGGAAAAGAAAAGAAACGAACGGATTTTAAAGAATGTCAAGCGATGCTACAGTGCAAACTTTTTTGCTGACCAAAACGGGCAGAAAGCAAAGGAAAACTGACGGAAGCTTACAAAACTTTTTTAAATTATCCATTTTATCCTCACAAAACTATTGAATGAAATTTTATTGATATATTTATCCAAAATCATTCCATTTCTTTCCAAAACTCTCAAACAACATTAGAATTACTTCTTCTCTCAGAATTTAAGTTTTCTCATCATCCTTTCCTTTCTGTCCTAAACTCACAAACTCGCTATGAAATTTGCAGAACCCAAAAAATTTCACCAAAAATGGAAAAAATATATGGGATAAATTTTATAAATCTAATATATATGGGGAGACAATTTACACATGTACGTACGTAGGAGAGATCATAATAATAGTATTAGTAATATAATATCAATAACACTGATAATACTTTCAAAATTTCACTCTTTTCAATGACTGCTGTTATAGATTATGTATGACTTAGTAAACAAATTTTATAATCACAAATTTCCTATATAATAAAACTACGATAACCAAAATTCAATAAAATTACTAAAATCTTAACTATAACATTTCTAAATAATAATATGAAATTTCTATTTTTAAAAATTTCTAAAGTCTTAACTTAATGAAAACACTGCTAACATAAAAACTATGACAATAAGAAGACTCATATTTGTAGACTGGATAATTTCCTAATAAAATACTTGGAAAAAAAGGGCACTAGTGTGGTAAAAAAAAAAAAGGCTATATAATAAAACTAATATAATTTGAATCCAATAAAATTACTACAATTTTAACTTAACTAAAACATTTCTAAATGGGGAGTAATATGTAAATTTCTTTTTTGTTGAAAATTAGTAAAACCTTACCTAAACTAAAACATTGCTGATATAAACTCTGATAATAATAAGGCTCCGACTAGATAATTTCTTAATGAAATACTTGGTAAAAAAAAGTTGCTAGTACTATGGTAAAAAATACATGGGGAGAAAAAGGTAAAATGGTAAAAATGGTGTTTTTGCAATTGTATGGCGTCGCCCGGACTTGAACCGGAGACCTTCAGTGTGTTAGACTGACGTGATAACCAACTACACCACGACACCTCGATGGCAAGGTACTACGGACAATTCTAGTTCCACCGCGGCGAATGAGGGTTTTTAACACCAAGTTGAGTTCAAGCTTCACCTGTTTCTTTCATAACCTAAAGAGGAAGTACGTCTCCAGTTAAGTGTTTATACTTTTTATAGTACTCATTTGCTAATATTAATTATTAGTATCCCGAATGCAATATAATAGAATGGCCTACTAAGTATTGTTTGGGCATGTTACAATTTGAAACTTACAAGTTTTCCTAGTTAAATATTATATATTATATATCGACATCAGAATTTTGGAAAAATCATTAGGAGTAAAGAATTCAGTTGTTGTATCATGTATGAGAAGCAAGTGTGTAATGGTAGCAAAAATTCTAGGCATTATACTATATGCTACTGCTATTTTTTGTCAAATCAAAGAAAGAGGAAAATTAAAGAGCTAATTCCATTCCATTTTCTTAACCACTAGAAGCATTCCATAATGGACCATCACCCCAATCGGATCTAAAATTCAATGCCTGGCCCTGAACCCCCGGCTGGCTGGCACCGGAGACTTTTTACGATGATATATGATATATATAAAATAAAGAGATGATTTAAAATATAAAAATATAATTTAAAAAATGTACGTATGACATGACCGGAATATTATTCGAGCAAATAGGTTGTGATTTTTCATTGAAAAAATTTTATATTTTTTATAAACATATATTTTCAAATATCATTTTACCTTGCATGCGATATAGTATATATATTTTTCTTATGAAAACTACTAAAAATGGCAATTCAAACCGGAACTGAGCTGTCCAAACCCATTAATTATTTACATATTATTAATTATCTTCACATGGAAAGAGTAAAAAGAAAGATCACCTGTCCTCTTTTTTTTTTTTTTTTTTTAAAAAAGCCTTTAACCCAAAAGGGAGATAACCCCACAATTTATTTCCAAAAGAATCCTAACACTGGACAAATTCGTTTTCATTTTCAGGGACTTTATATTTCTTCTCCAAAATTCTCTTCTATTTTCGGTCGTCTTTTCCTCAATCACTCTCTCTTTCTCTCCTTCATTTCAGGGGCTCAAGTTTTAGGGTCATTTAGCCCTAATTTGTGCCCCAAAAGGTCTCTCATTTAGCCCTTTTTCCATCAGTCCTTCAGCTATAAATACCTCAATAGATAGCTATATGAAACATAAATTCTTTTCTGGAAAATGGCAAGGATAATTGGACGAATTGCGATTTGGAATTTCAATCTAACAGCGTTGCAAATCAATTTTCATGGATGTTCGGATCGTTTCGTATCTGCCGTTGATTCATTTTCAGCTGCCTGCGAGGCATTTTCTGAACATCGTCGTCCTCGTCTTTGATTTCTTGTAGTTCTTAATTTTTTCTTTCCTCCTCAGTTGTTGGTTTTTTTCTTTTCAAAAAATCAAAAGGAGAGAGATTTTGGGAAAGGTAGATTGGGTTTGTTACGGAGATGAATTCTAGGGCAGGTTCGTTTTTGTCAGCGCCAAATGCTAAGCTGAAGTTGGAGGCCAGTGAGAATGATATTATTTTAGAAGTTTCCCCCGATAAACGATATATTCGGGTACGGTTCGGGTTTTTCTGTGTCAATTTCAGCTACATAGAACTTTTTTTTTTGCAACTATTTCTTTTTCTTGAATGTTTAATTGCTTCGTTTGGTGTTTAATCCTGATGTTAATTTTTTGCTAGAGTGATTTCCATTTTACTCGTCTTATTGAAACATTTTGGTGGATCTATGGATTATTGAGCTACAGGTGTCGGAACTTGACACCATCAACATATTCATCTTAAGTTTATGGATTTTCTTTAATTTTACATTATTTTTTCTTCTGACTAGTTTAAGGCTGCTTATTTTATCTGTGAAAGTTGGAATTTTAATCATATTCTTTAGGAATCTTGTAGCTTGTAGTGAATCATATACATTTCCTGTTGGAATCCAGTTCCAATTCTGATAGAGAATCGAACGAAGCCTCTGTTTAAGTAGGCGAATCGCTAAGGAAGACTGATTTTCCTTGTTGATGTCTTGTATGCGTACTTTGAATTCATTTTAGGCTCATGGAGTTTGATTGTGTAAACTTTACTGCCGAGAAGGAAATTTTGAGCAACCAAGAATGTTAAGAGTTTATCCTATAAAAATTTGTGCTTGTGATTTAGCTCAGCTCATTCTTCACCCTTTTTTTGGTGAGTGGTCTGTGCCTGTATGGGTGCAGAGATCGTTAGAGGTCTAGCTAACTTACACCTGGTATCTTGTCAACACAAACAAGGCCTAGGTCCTTTTACAAAGTTGTGCTTCAGTACATTAAACTCAACTTTAAATGTATTTGATGGTAGAGGATGTAAGTGCTAGCACTTGCATGCTCTATGGTGTTGTATTAACTTCAAATTTTTGTTGTGCTTATCTTATAGTAGCTCAAATACTTGCTGGTTCTCATGGTGTTGTTCTTTTAAGTTACGTCTTTAGCTACTATTTTTTGATTTAGCAACTCCATCACCATGTTTCTTTGTTTTTCTTCTTCAGTATAATGAAATCTTGGGGAGAGGAGCATTCAAGATTGTGTATGGTTCCTAGACCTATCTGCTGTCTGTTTGTTTGCAGATTACTCAGTTTATGGATGTGATCTTAGTTTCAGTTTGACCAATTTCAACGTCCACATGCTGTTGCAAATGATTTTTTTCTTTTTTTTTGGATTCCTTCTGCTTTCTAGTTATAAGGGGTTTGATGAAGTAGATGGAATTGAAATTGCGTGGAACCAAGTAAGCATTGACGACGCATTGCAGTCTTCAGAAAATCTTCGAAGATTATATTCTGAGGTTCACCTGTTGAGAACATTGAAACATGAGAACATCATGAAGTTATATACCTCTTGGGTTGATGATGAGAACAAAACAATAAACATGATTACTGAGTTGTTCACTTCAGGAAGTTTGAGGCAGTGAGTACTGTTGTTCTTTTCCCATATAAACCTCAGTTTTCTTCTTGTTCTCTAATTCATTTGCTTCATTACGGGAACTTAGGTACCGCAAGAAGCACAGAAATGTCGAGCTGAAGGCTATTAAGAACTGGGCTAGACAGATACTGCAAGGCTTACACTATCTCCACAATCATGACCCACCGATCATTCATAGAGATTTGAAGTGTGACAATATCTTTGTTAATGGAAATCATGGAGAAGTTAAAATTGGAGATTTAGGCTTAGCAACAATGATGCAGCAGCGTACTGTGCGAAGTGTTATTGGTAATCTTTTCACTTGCATTAACAATGTTGCAACTGTGATGCAAGTATAGTATTTTAATGCTTTTTCTTCTAGGCACTCCTGAATTTATGGCTCCTGAGCTCTATGAAGAGGAGTATAATCAACTTGTTGACATCTATTCTTTTGGCATGTGTTTGTTGGAGATGATAACCTGTGAATATCCATACGGTGAATGCAAAAATCAAGCTCAAATCTATAAAAAGGTCACTTCAGTAAGTTAACCAAATTGCCAAGTTTCTCCATGTAATGTGTATAATTTAAATTTTTTCTGTGTTTTTAACCTAGGAGTAGCTTCATGCACATCTTTGATATTTTGTTAAATCGTTCTTTTAATGTAGGCTAATATGTTTTGCTCCAGGGGATAAAGCCAGCTGCGCTTGGTAATGTTAAGGACCCCCAAGCAAAGCAGCTCATAGAAAAATGTTTGCTCCCAGCAGGTCAGAGGTTGAATGCAGCAGAGCTCTTGAAAGATCCGTTTCTTTCATCTGAAAGTTCAAAGGAGTTACTGTGCAATCTTGTGCAACCGCTTAGTATTACATCCAAAGCAATGAACTTTTGCAAGGCTGATTCTCTTTCTATGGATATAGAACCTACATAC